GGTGACAAATCTTCCGCACCCCTAAAAACATCCGACAAAACCAAAACTGAAGCCAGTCAAAAACATTATCCTTGCAGCGAGGGAGGAACTTACTGGTCTTGCCTGATAGTATGAAAGACTCGTTCAGACTCCTCTATAAGACAAGTCTTCATAGTGGCGAGCCCTTCCATACCAACTCTTTAACGAACAACCATTCTTGCTTTAATCCATACTCTTCCACTCACGGATGAGTCTGGATCGAATCCCCATCTGATCGTTTTTGATATAGGATGATTGGGTACTTTTTGAGATTCACTCCCCACCTGGCTTGATGTCTTCAGATACTGATGCAAAATTCGGAGGACCTCACACTCACTCACTTTTGTAGCCTTCATTTCATCATCAAGTACCAGTACCAGATCTGTGATTATGGTTCTCCATTCATTCCTTTGCCCAGATGCTCTAATAAAAGCAAAAATGATCCCAATATTTCCCCGTCACCCATCTGTTTGGACCCTACAAACAGGGAGCTCTGGGTGTACCCGTGCCCCCTTTGCCGTACATTTTCCAGTGAGATGAAGTCTCGTGTGTTTAAAAGAAAAGAAAGCACATAGAACCAGCTGTACGGCTAGTACTCTAGTTTTCTACTCACTGTTACAGGAAACACGTGCGATCAATAGCCAACCAGTCTGCTGCTTTGAATGTATCAATAACCTTTCACGTCCGGTCGTTAGTGGAAATGGATGACGTCAAACAGAAACTGACCATCAACTCCGTCGTATTCTTAAAGTGGTGAGTATTATTAAAATTTCTCGTGGACGAATGAGTATGGGTGTGTGTGTGTGTGTGTGTGTGTGTGTGTGTGTGTGTGTGTGTGTGTGTGTGTGTGTGTGTTCGTGCATGCGTGCGTGTTCAAAATCAAGGATATCAGTGTTAGAACAATAGCTTTAATAATATTGGAAGTAACCGTCAAAACATGAATAATATATCATGCTCAAACGCGATCAAGATCTAGGTGCGTATGTCTGATTTGTGAAAGGTATGCAGTTACCATTAGCCAAAAACAGACCAGTAGAACTGAGACACTGCTCAATCTGCTTTTACTCGATGCATGAGCACACATAAAAAATAGGCTAATTATTTAACTGATTTCTGACTCGAGAATTGAACGCACAAAAGACTTGTCTCAAAATGCTCAACGATGATATACTATTACGTCATTAATGTGTATTTTCGCTCACTATCAAAATGTCATCTCTCCACAGGAAAGATAAAAACCTAACGTGAAACCCCGACGACTACGGGGGTATTGATGTTATGTACCTCGGGAAAGAACATATCTGGGCTCCTGTAGTGACGAGCGACAACTTCAAACAACTGTTTGATTACCCGACCCAGAATCTGGTACTTCCAAGTGGTGAGGTTCAATTCAGCACTTCCACTACTCTGGAAGTGATCTGTCAACTGGACATGAAGTACTTTCCTTACGACTCCCAGACTTGTAAATTCAGCTTTGCTGCGTTCCAGTCTTCCATGAAAGATGTGGTGCTCACTCCCGAATCTGCGTATCTTGTAGACGATTATGTTGAACACGGGGAATGGGAGCTCACCAATCTAAATAGTGGCGTTGTGTACCATGGAGTAATTCAAAATTTACAATTTTCCATTGCCTATTTCGAAATTACGCTGAAGCGACGTCCAGCTTATTACTTGATCAACATTTTTGTCCCCGTTGGTATTGTTTCTTTCCTTGGACAGTTAACCTTTTTCATTCCAATAGAGAGTGGCGAGAGACTGTCTTATACACTTAACGTTCTGCTATCGCTCACTGTATACTTCACTTCAGTGGCGAGTCTCATGCCTCGGTCTGCGTCCCCTACCCCAATGGTGATGGCCTATATGGTTTGCCTCTTCGTCATCAACACCATGAGCATCGCTGCGACAGTTGTCATCAACAGCATCCACTGGAGCAAAATCGTCACCCTTAAGGATGGCAGAAAAGCAATGAGAATTGCGGGAATTTCCATACCTATAAATAGAAGAGTCTGTTTTCCTGAACGGACACAGCACCAAAACAGTGCAGGAATTTCCAAAAGAGGAGACAATGAGAGCGGTGGCAAAAAGGTGGAAGATGTTCGGAAAGTCTCGATTTATAAAAACAATTATGATCTCCTATCCATGCCATCTGATCGTGTAGACCGTCACGTGATGAAACACCAAAACATCAATGCAGTGTCAGATATCAGCCAACCCCATACAACTAGAATCACTAAAGTTTTTGCCACTGGTACTTCTGAGTACACCAACACCGAAAACCAACAGGAACATTGCGAGTTCAAAGAGGAAATAAATCTGGAAACTCCAAATCTTAAGTCTGTGGCAGAAGTAATTAATTGGGTCAGCTTCATGATCCTGTTTCTGTCATTTATCCTTGTTAACGCTATAATGGGTGTGAAACTCGTGTATCAATAAGTTTTTAAAAGAGCTGTGAGGCATCGTGATGAAATCAGGCACTCGTCACAATAACGGCTACCTTTTTTTTCTCGAATTTTCGGGGGAGGGGAGGGGGTGGTGGTGTCTCAATACCTTTTATGTCAACATAAGAACACACCTATGGGTTGATTTTAAAAAAAAACTGAAAACGTTGATTAAAGGCAGGGGAAAAAATCTAAATTTGTAGTTTCCAAGGACTCTAAAGCTTCGGAAATCACCAAATTTTGACTGCCATTTTTTCGCTAAGTTTACCTCTGAAACCAGGCAACTCCCATCTCTTCAAATGCAAATATCTCGACTTCTCTTCAAGATAGATGGATACTTTTAAGATTTCAAGCAAGACAAATGAACAAGCTTTAAGATGATAGCAATAACTCTACATGCCCCAAAATTGACGAGCTCCTGATTCCACCACGTTGTGACACTTTTGTTGAACGCGCCATTGGAGGCACCGCTGTTCTGGACAGACTTTCGGAAATATTAAGTCATGCAGGGCGCAGCACAGTGGTGACTAGCAATTGTCTACAATATTGATA